AAGCCGCAGAACCGTTACGTATGCCTTCCTATGATATGTACCATGTGTACTTTTACAAACCCTTTTCCTATTGCCTATTACTTGCATGCGTATTTTTACGTCTGTTCTACTGTCATTGTTGATCTAGGTACTAAATCGTATGATTTGTCCCCCGTGAGGTATGTGAGTGCCAGACTCGCTATGCTTTTTTGTATGCTTCTGCTTCTGTTCGTTTCACTGACATTACTACTTTTCAATCTTTTGTAAAACGCTAACCCAGGTACCAAATCGTATGGTTTGGTGAACCTTAGGTCTGTGCTTGCAATATGCTTACTTAGGCTAAGGTTTCTTTTTTCCTTATATTTCTATCCTATGTGTACATTTACGTGCGAATACTTTAAATACATTTTATGCTTTTGAGTACACATGACGCATATAGTTGTATAGGTTACATGTGAATACTTTGAGTACATTTTTATATATAACTTGTATGTTACATGCGAATATTTTGAATACGTTTTATGCTTTTGAGTACATCTTCATATAACTCATATGATTGTATGTGTTACATGCGAATACTTTGAGTACATTTTTATATATAGCTTGTATGTTTATACTTCAATACGTTTTTATATGGTTGTATATGTTTCATGCGTTTGAGCGTTTGGGAGGATGATCATGTTCAGTAAAAAGACGTGTAAACGGACGAACCGGACTGACTGCTTGGGGTCTACGGGTAAACATTTGGGCGAACGGGTTTGTTGTCAGTAAGGAAGCAAAACGCTTCCTTACAATATAATTCTTATAATTAAAAGAAAAACTTGCTATTGTATTGTATAAAATCATTGCAAAATGCCAATGTTACGTATTTTAATGCATAAAGCAAATGAAACAAAAATATGCGGAAATTACAAATCAGCAAAATTACAATTTGGGAAATTCGCTAATTGCAATAACCCATATATTGCCAATAATTACACTGACAAACATACTAAAAAATAAAGTTTCATCTATTTTTTCCATTGTTTTTTAATTACCTTCTACTTACCTACTTGGTTCCTGTTTCTTTTCTATTTTTCTTTCTTCTCGTGGCCTTCAATTTTCTTTTCGTTCTTCTTTAAGAAAATTTTGTATTGTTGTACTTTTGTATTGCACGTGGTAGACATTGTAATCTATTATTTATTGTAGGCCTCAATAACGTAACAGTGACATAAGCATAAATAAAAAAATAAATAATAAATGAGATGGAATAGCCTCTTAGTAGTAATCAGTTACCAAAATTTTTTTTTGCATCACTAGGACGTTCAATATTCCCTTTAGAGATCATAATCGTACATCCACATTTTATTTTAACTTGAAACTTATGTTCAAATGGTGAGTATAAATTCCATTCATCGTTTTGATCAGAACGAAAATAACCAACCGAGCTTGTGCGTTGGTCTATTTTCATTACATTTATTCGTTTATCAAATAACTATAAAGCCATAGGGCTATTACCTAGTTGGATTGGTACATTTAATGTGCAAGTAGAAACTATAACTTAAGTGAGTCTATAAGTCAACTAGAGGGCTGCTAATGTACTCATCTTGCGCTATTAACTCCGTAATCATCAATTCCTACCAATAACAAAATGTTATGTTTAGCAGTGCTGTCAATTTGTTTCTAAATGCATTCAAGGAATCATCGTTGGATATCAGATTCAGTGGTAAGGCGTTCGAATATGTAGCAACAGTATTGTTCAAGAATTAGTGAAGCAGCTCCATTACACGCTCCATTACTTTGGAGAGGCGGGGTAGAAAGCTAATCAGTCGAAAATAATTATGTGTAAAAGGTGAGCCATGTTTAGGAATGGGTCTTATTCTATTTTTCACTCCTTCGGAAATTTGGAGGTTATTAGTACCGAATTCATGACCTGTATTAGACGGTTGGATATGTAAGTTTGCTAGATACTCCGTCAAACCCAACTTAAGCAGATGTTATTTTTTGAATAGTATAAAGAATGCTTTCATTCATACTGTGGAATGAGAAACGAAAATCTTTACTTCTAGAATTATTGAAAATTAAATTTCTGGGTGCAAATCGCGGATATTTAGTTGATTTTGCTCGGGAAACTCATTAATAGCATTTACATCTATCTCATTAGGGTCGCCGCTTCTACTTCTCCATATACCTTTATTACGGAGCATGAAGAACCAGCAATTCCGAAAAAGTTACCGTACGCTTCGTTCCCATCATTTCTCACCCATAGTTGAACTTCCAATAGATTCACTAGCCAATAGCTTCGAAGGTTTGAAGATACTGATCATAGGCGATGTCTCTAAAGGATACGAGATGTTAAGTGAATGGGTTGAAAGTAACATTTCCAGACGATTATTTACAATAAGATATAGGATGTGCAGTATTGGTTTGAAACTGAAATTAAAAATTAACGTAATTTGAAAAATATATTGGACTATAATCAAATTCTCGTATAGGGCAACTCTCCCCCGTCTGGACACTTGTCTTTCACCCTGACAAACATGCAGAGCTTAGCAGCATTATCAAATATCAGCTACAACAAGGCAAAATGGTTGTTGCAAAAATTAAGCAAAAATAAAAAAGGCTGAGATATAATAACAAAAATAAACAAGATGTTGGACAAAAATTAGACTTCATTGTAGCTATTCACGAACGTGTACAGATCATACGAAGCCATCATTGGTTATAAAATTGCTGAAGCTCAGGTAGGAATACCCTCCGCGAAACTTGTGAGGAATCCGAGCAACGATTACCGTACGATACCGTTTGCCACATTGAGCACAGCGTTAGTTGTGACTTTTTAAGCCCCTTCTTGAACAAATAGCAGGAAATACTGCCAACTAGCGCTCCCCAGATCACCGCAAAACAAGCAAGTATTATAAAAAGAGGGAGTTCGGTAATGTGGCACGTTTACAGACAATTATGAGATTCTAAGCACAAAGCAGGAAAAAACTGCAATACGAAACTTATAAGAATATAGCTGCAAAGAACTTGTAACCTGGAGATGTAATTTGTTTTGTCTGGTTAGCCCATCTGCGTTTACACAAAAAATTACAACTATGTAAAGAATATGGCTTCCAGCTGGGTATTATAGCTGCGGCGCTAATTAACGGTCGTATTGTCTGTTTATCTTGTTCTCTTTTCCGTTAGTCTGTGCTTATGTGTCTGTTGGCCCGCTAAGTCACCGACCGTGGTTATACTCACTCACTTATTCACGCACACATGCACATACACACACACATATACCCACATCTCATCTGAGCAAAACCATATTCATCACATTAATCATTATTATTAAATTCCTGACGTGGTAGTTTCCCCAGACTGCAGTCGATGATGATGGTGTTGTTATTAGTCCTTTCACCTCTTCTTTCCCTTTTCGGTATGTTATTATACGATAAAATCTTTGTAATTACCTCTCTTGCCATTAAATAGGAAAAACGAGTGGTTTCGCTTTCTTTCGTTATAATATAATTGACGATTCTAAGTGTTTTGCATTTTGATGGCTTCTATACATTTTTTTATTCAGTTTCATATATTATTATTATTATTATTATTATTATAAATTTAGCCAGAGAATAAATTCTAAGACTAAAGTCTTAAAGCACTAGCATCTAGGGCTATCGGCTTTTTATTAAAAAACTCTACCGCACTTGAGGTTTGAACCCACGACTATTGAGTTGCTAGTCGAGACTCTTGCCTACTCGGCCACTCAGGCGGATCAGTTTCATATAATTTGCACACATTATTCTCTTTAAAATATTGAATTTTATTTTATTTAAGTTTTTGCATTTTCGCTTTCTTTCTTTTTACGGCATAATTAAATTAAATTTGTTCCGCAATTCACTATTTAAACTCTCTTTGTTTTTGGGAACAAATTCTCAATTTTTAATTTTCAGTATAAGTTTGTCTTTTATCTTGCTTGACAGGCAAAGTTTATTCTTGATCTTTATTTCAGTAGAAATTCTTTTTATTCCCGCTTCGTTTTCATAACAACTCAAAAAAAGCAGCATAAAATTTTCTTAAACAAAACTCACCCTTATGCAACACAGACGGATTTTGGACATCGTTCCCTTTTCATAATTTTTCTCTTTGAATTGCGTCATTACATGAGCAGAGAATTATGAAAAGAGACACCAATTAACGGAATTCGGTTATTATACTAAACACTGCTCTCTTGTAAAGAGTAGGGGAAAATCCAACCGACCGGAACCTGCTACATCTATATAAGCGTTACAAACTTTCAAGACCATCGTCCATCGTATATAGATAAATAAGTAAGTAGAAACGCACATTTCTTTGCAAAACTTATAGAAGCTGACCGAAAATTTCTGATTCCATATAATAGAGTTTCCAACCATCCTTTTTCAGTTGCACTTAGTTCTTTCTTCGCAATTAGAAGTCATTATATAGACGAACCGCTCCTAACAGTTGCCGCCTAAATCACTTAAATGCCCAGGAATATATCTTGGCTTGATTTTAACATCCGAGTATTACTACGACTGAATTTCCAAAACGACAGCAAGAACTATCATCTAATCGGCTATCTTTAAACTTCTCTGCCTGTTTACTAGCCGTTATTTTTCAGACAAGGAGTTTCGATTAATGTATCTGTTTTTTCACTGTCAATTTAAATTTTCGTCAAGCTTTCTTTTACTACAAATTTAATCAATGCAGAATTTTTACAACAAAAAAAGAAAAGAGAATAAGGAGAAGAGATAAGAGTACATAGACACAAAAAGGGATATTAAAACTAATTCGCAACGTTTTTTACTAGCTAACTCTTATAACAGACAATTTCGTGTAATTTTGAAACTGCAAATAACAATGGGAATAATGCAAATCAAAATGACTTTCTAGAAATAACACACCAATGTTTGTTATGATTACTACATTGAATAACTTTATTTTATTACCTGTTTACTGCAGATCTTAGTTACGAATTTCTTATATCAAGTTTTTTTGCATTGTATAAATCTAAAAAAGACTTAACCCTACAGTCTTTAATAATCGCCCACGGATATATCAAGAAAGTTGTCCAAAGTATCTTCGTTACGGGTGGTATCAATACTTCGCAGATATTGAAAAGCTTCGTCAATTCCATCAACATAATATGAAAAGTTATCAGTGACTGAATTTTGACAACAATCACTTATGGGAACAGTGGAAGCGTGATACTGCTTTGAGGAAGATATCGAAGTTGATGTTGAAAGCTGGGTCGGGTATGCAGTGTTTATCGTATATAAGCCTGGTGTAACAGTAACACATGTAGCTGACGATGGTTGAACTAATTGTTCGACAATAACGTTTTTCCCTCGTTCCTGAGTTAATTTTAGCTGCATTTGGCTGGTGGATTCGCTAATTGTTTTAGGAAAATCAGAATCGAATTTCCGCCTTTCCACTTCTGCAAAACTTTGGGATGTGAGCAAATTATTGTATGCAGGAGCATTTTCGTCGCCAGCGTACGGCTTTACAGGAAAAGAGCAACAAGAAAAATATGAAAACTCTTTTAATTATATTGCAAGCTTTTATTCTCAATTCTTATTTTTAAAAATCGTAGAGTTGCCTGCCTGTATTAAGAGGGAGAATATACATGCTATGGACATATATCATCATAATGTTATATGAACCCGAAAATAAATACAAACAAACAAAGCGCCTTCCCTACAAAGGAACTCTATGAGCACACGCTTATTTAAAAATATGTTACACGATAGCAATAGATTTAACTTACGCAACTGTAAGGTTGTTTCGGTGATGCTTCATTGTCCATGGTGTGATTAATGATGTAATCAAATGCGGTTGGTTTCAACTGATGAATATCTGCTAGATCGGCCATTTGAGAGGTGCTTATAATAATTGTTCCAAAAGTGTAGTCTTGGCCTTGTTCATTATATTGCTTTTGCTTCGCTTCCGAAGTTTCATGAACCGGCTTGTTGATTAAACCGGCTATGAATACATCATTTTCGTGGCAGTCAATTTCGGCTTGCTGCTGATGATTCTGCGGAAAAGTCGGTGTTAAGAAACAATCCTTTTTATTTGTATTAGCTGTAGTGATAGAGTTTCCATCCCCATTCTGTCGAGCATCCACAATATCAAAAATAATTCTATCTCTTTCATTGCATTGGTTTGCATAATTATTCTCGCAAAAATATGTGGACAGCATCGAACGTTGCATATCATTGAGTTTTAGCGATTTGTTAGTGATACTATTGTTATTTTTGTTGATAGTCCTTAATATTGACTTCCTATTGCGTATACGTTTACGATCGCATTTTTTCGGATCTACAGCTAATTCCCAATAGCCACCTTTGCCTTTATCATCTTTATTTCGACCAATTTTGCGAAAGCAGGGATGCAATGACAAGTTGTGACGAATTGAATTCTGAAAAAAACAACATCAAAGCACGATACAAAAGGACATGTTAATTGCTTCTTTTCAACTCTACACTTTATTTACATTCCACTTTTTCCGAACACGGAAGAAAGCAAATTTCAACTCTATCCAAGCACATATTTGCTGCAGAGTAACGCGCCGTCCGTTTTCCAGCATAGCCATTCCAATAATATGGGAATAGTTAAAAGGAGGTTTTTCATTAGCATCGTTTTGGTAGGCATTTGCTGATTGTTGGTAAATTTCAAGATCCCTACATAGAATAAAAACAAGATATTACGACTTGTTAATTCTGAATATTTTTACACTAAGTTGTAATAAGTATAATCTACTTCAATTTATAAATTTTGGAATTAAGGCGTCAATAACCTAAAAAACTTCAAATCTTGAGTTTATGCATAGATAGAATCACATTTGCGAGACCCTTCGATTCTATTTAGATAGCTTAGGATTTTAAAGTTTCGCATAGAATCAGTACTAAAACCGTTGTAATAGAGTTAAATACAAATTATTTAATTCACATATTAAGATTCAATTAGATTAAATGACTACAACATTCTTTATCGTGCAGATACGATCTTGTACCATTATGTACCTTCTGTACATCACACGCAAACACAGACTGCGCATCTAATCCTATTACACTGAACACAAAATGTGCCCTTCAGATATATTCCGTGTGTGAATTCATCGAATGATGTGACGTAAGCAAATAAGTTTCCATCGATTTACATGAAAATGCATATGTACATTCTTTATATCAGTTTGGCAACTGACGCGGGCGAGATGGTACGCTTTTGTTAATTTTATTGCTTAAAATTGTCTTGTTTTCGTTTTATACGTGTTTAAAGCAGGGTATTTGTAAAAGTATAAAAGGATTGAATGTGTAAAGTGTAAGAATTACATTAATTACATTAAAACTTTTGTGATTTTCATTTTGGTTCTTGCGATTAGCACTTGTGATCGCAATAGTAAATTCCTTTCGAGTCTTTTCTAGTTTTTTTCTTTTGAGTTTTTTTTATTTTCTTCTTGTGGTGTGAATAGCTTTTCTCTTGGCTTGTTTACCGCTGCTTCAGTAGTGTAGATTTTACGTGTAATTTAAGAGGAAATTTACGAGAAAATTTTTATGATTTCTATTCTCCCTTTTTTTTCGTGCTGCCAGTTTGGTTTTGCTTTCTCTTGTTCTTTTGCTCTCTTGCCAGAGTGACAACGTAACGGAGAAGTTTAATTAAATTTCTTAAATTTGTTAGATAAACTTAGTGTTGTGGATTCTTTTGAATTTTTTTCTTTTTTATTCTAATGTTGACTTGACATGGAGTGCTTATATACACCATGTCGCGCAAAAAAAGGCCCGGAACTGGATAGATCCAGTTCCGGGCCTTTTTCGTTTCTTGTTGGCTCTGCGAGCGCTTTGGTCATGCAAAGTATGCCGGTATTCTCGGCCGTGCTGCTGACGCAGTCGCTGACCCTTCCAAAGGCTTAAGATGGTCATGTCCTGACTGTAGCCAGCAGGACATTGATTTTTACAAACTTTTCACGGAGATGCATGGTTTCTCGGAATTGAGTAGAAATCCCGGCTCCTTGTGGGAGAAGTTTGAACTAATTAAGTCTAGGTTTGATGAGTGCCGTTTTATTGAGCACCCATCGTTGGTACAAGTTACCGCTCCCTCTAACTCTAAAAGGAACAGTAATGTTTCGGATATTGCTGAGTCGGTTGGTAATGAAATAGTTACAAACAAGCCGGCAAGTCTTTCCGTTTTAAGCTACGCTGAAGTTTCAAGGGTATATCCGCCCAGGGCCGCCACTCACTCTAATCAAGCGCCATCGCTTAAAAATAATAAAGAGAAATAAATCATCCTCTCCCCCTGGCTGTTCAAATGTGAACGCTGGTCATCAGACTGGGCAAGTCGCACAAGCGGCTGGTGCAAGGGTGATAACGCCATCTATATTCTCCCCAACTCTAAACTCCCCAACCGTGAACCCCCTCCTGTTCCAAGTAATGACATTTGCTCGACGGCAGTTCCTCCCAGAAAAGCAATATTTGTGTCAAGACTGGCACTTGAAAAATCGGTGGATAACATAAAAAGTTATCTGGCGGCGAAAGTCTTATCAGTCAACTTAAAGCGCGTTAGCATTTTCAAAATGGCTCCTTCTCAATCTAGGGCAATCTCCTATTTTAAAATATTAGTTTCGACTGAAAACATGTGATATGTTGTTAAGCAAACCACTGTGGCCAGTAGGATCCTTAATTAAGGAATTTATCCCTCGAGTTCGTCCCTGTAATACCAAAGCAATAGTCTTGTCGCCTTCAAAAAACTAAATGTGTCTTCAGGCCCATTATCTTTCTTATGTCAAAATGTTAGGGGCCTAAATTCAAAAATTCGTTCTACTTCTAAATTCAGTGAGCACGGAGTTTTTCTGTTTGGCCTTCACCAAAATTTGGCTATAACCCCGTCTTCATTCGTCGGAACTTTTTAACAATTTTTTCCAAGTCTTCAGAAAGGATCGAGTGAATCGAATTGGTGGTGGTATATTAATTGCCATATATGCGTCAGTCGTGTCCAATTCAATAGAATTTCTCACTTCTCCTGACGTTGAATTTGTCGCCATTCGTGCGATAATGCCTAGGAAACAGCTATTTGTAACCTGCTCCTATATTCCCCCAAATTCTGATATCTCCATTTACAAGAAACACGCTGCCCTCATTTGTGATGTTGCCAAGCGGTCTAGACTTAACAATTTGGTCGTTGTATTGGATGATTTCAACTTGCCTCAAGTCACTTGGTGTAACAGTGATAATTCTGGCTATTTGATTCCTACTTCAACGTCTGATAGGGCTGTTGTGTTCTTTAGTGAATTGTTTGATCATAATTTGAGTCAATATAATCGTAACCCTAATTGTAAAGGTAAACTGATTGATCTCTGCTTTGCCAATTTTCCCGAGATTTACGTAAATCGTTGTCCATCTTTTAGTTTACCTGAAGACCCTTATCATCCATCAATGTGCATTTCCTTTCAACCTATTATTATTATTATTATTATTTATTTCGCCACAAAAATAAATTCTAAGACTAAATTCTTAAAAGCACTAGCATCTAAGGCTATCGGCTTTTATTAAAAACCCTACCGCACTTGAGATTCGAACCCACGACCATTGACTTGCTAGTCGAGATTCCTCCCCTTCGGCTACTCAGATGATGGTTCGTTGAACTGCCTTAATGTGCCAAATCAAACTTTTTTAAATAAATGTTATGATTTTCATATAATCAATATTGTATTGCTACAACATCGTCTTTCACATATAAGGCTTGGTTTCTCAACCGGAAGTACTGAAAGCGTATTGTCATCGTTCTACAATACATTAAATCTAGCTATTGTGGCATCTGCTCCGATCAAGCAGTGCCGACCTCGAAGCAGGTGTACCCCCTGGTTTAATAAGACAATTAAATATTAAAAGAATAGAAAAAATACGCTATTCAAAAAATATTCGAAAAATGGCTCTGCGCTCGATTATTTCGCTTACTCGGTGGCGAGACACAGATTTAACTCCCTCAACCACCATCATTACTGCAGATACCTTCAGTTCATTAAATCTCTCTGTTTTCTAATCCTATATATTTTTTTAAATTTAACTCTAAAAAAAAATTTCCACATATCCCTCTCATATTTCTTTTAAGGGCTCTGATTCCTCGGATGATTTTGAAATCTCAAACCTGTTTGCTGAGTATTTCCGGCGAAACTTTTCGATTGCTAATTTCGATTTATTAGCAAACTATCCATATCCTATAACTAACTCGGTTTCAATTCTTAACTTGGTAATTTCGGAAGATGACGTTTTTAAAGGGTTGAGTTGTCTAAACTATGGTTGTGCGCCAGGACCTTATGGAATTCCATCATGTGTACTTAAAGCTTGCGCTGTCGAGTTATATGGTGTTATCTCTAAGATTTTTAACTGGTCTTTAAATTTGGGTGTGTTCCCTGTGTGTTGGAAGAGTAGTTTCCTTACTCCCATTCACAAAAGTGGAAGTAGACGACTTGTTGAGAACTACGGAGGCATAGCCAAGTTGAGCATCTTGCCTAAGCTGTTTGAGCGAATTGTGACTCAGCATTTGGCACTTGCCATTAATTCGTATATTTCTCCACAACAGCATAGCTTTCAGAAAGGTCGATCTACAGTCACCAAATTATTAGAGTTTACTTGTCATGTTTTCAAGACTTTTTCTAGTGGCTCTCGCACAGATGTAACATACACTGATTTAAGCAAAGCGTTTGATATGGTTAACCATAACTTAATTATCTTTAAACTCGAAGCCTCTGGCTTCCCTTTCTATTTAGTGAAATGGATAAGCCCTTATCTGCACAATAGATCCTTCAGGGTTTTGTTCAACTTCATCACCTCGGATGAATTCCCTGTTATATCTGGCCTACCTCAAGGAAGTTACTTAGGTCCAATTTTATTTAGTTTATACATTAATGATCTCCCATCGGTGGTTAATTCCAGCCAGATCTTAATGTATGCTGATGATGTGAAACTGTTTTCCTCCTTCTCTGTTGAATCGCAATCACACCAGCTTCAAGGTGACTTGGATAATTTTATTGCTGTTTAAAGTTCATTAAAGCAACATTGCTTAATACGAGCGATTTATCTATGCCTTACTTAAACTCGCTTTTGTCCTTAAAAATTCGTTATGATTCGAAAATGAATTATTGTTAATTATTATCGGTTGCCAAGTTTATGCATGTTTGCGATGGCTTAGGGGTTCATCTGCAATTTGGTCCTGTACCGGTTGTAAGTGTGGCTCTATGCTGGTTGTGTACATGCTTTTTTTCTTTTTTTTCCTTCTTATTTGTTTTATTGTACTTCTACTAAGTTGTATTATTAATTTAATATAAGTTTTGCTTTAAGTGCCAACTGAACTCAACTCTTATTTGTTTAGTTGACTTTCATGTATAAGTCGAATTAAAATAAATAAATAAATAAATAAATATTGATGCTGTGAAGCCAACAAATGCTGATTACGAAAAGCGTAATTTCTCTTTGTTATTTCCCCCAAAAATGGTTCAGAGCCGTAACAAGCGATGAAAACCTTATGCCATTTAGGCGGATTTATGATATCTATGGTAAAACCAAACGCTCCCGTTGTGGATACTATCTCATTGACCAAGGTTACCAACTACGACGGATGTAACTGAGCAGCTTATTAGAGTAAAGAGTTTTTTGGTATGGTGGGAAATTCTCACTATACTATAATGGGGAATTTTGCTCGCTTCCGCAAAATTTATCAAATATTACTTCAGTGTTGCCGCTTCGATCCTGGTGGTGCTACGTGTTTTCACCTCGAAGCGTAGCACGATATGACTCTCGATTACTTATAAGAGTTAAGGTAATAATTAAAATGCTAGTGTTTATTTTTAATTGTTATTGCTTAAGCTCACATGCTAATCTAAACAAGCTATACTAATATAACTGAAAATTGTTACATCCATCACCGAAGGATGAGGGGTATATCCATACTAAACAACTTTGCAACGCCCAGAAGGAAACATCAGACACCCCACGAAATAATGTATATATATTCTTGATCAGCGGCAAATTATAAATCGACTTAGGATATTCATCTGTGTATTTGTCCGTCTATACTTATTCCGATTTTATGATATGTGTTGTAAAAGTGAGGTTCTCCAGCGATAAGGAACTCATCAATCGTCAAATTTGGTGCAGGTATGTAGCGATTCAATAAATTCTTATTGGATCTTTCCCGAAAATCTCGGAAAGGAGGAAACTTCTAACTTAACTTGTCACTTCTCTGCAGGCTGACTCTGTGCTCTTATCATCGAATCTCAGTTACCTCTATGACCCAATATAACAGTGTATCCTGTAGTCTAAGCCCACTGCCATATATTCTAACAATTGAGTGAACGTAGAATAGAGCATTTCTCGACGGGTCTAATTCGGATAAAGGTTAATTTATAATGCGCAATAACACGCTCTTTGTAAAAAGGATTAATCTTGATATCCAATTTACTTTTTTTTGTCGAGTTAAAGCAATTAAGAACATTATAGCCGAGCAAGGGCGACCATAAGATAATCTACGCCATTTCGCAGAGTATGGTTATTCACTCGTTTTGATAATAGTATACCAAAAATTCACACTTTTTTTTTACATTATTTTCATGCATTCATTACACGGCGGGATTCAAATTTGGAAAACTTGATATAGTTCCTACAAATTTTATCATTTTTAAGTTTCCACCACAATTTATTTTTAAAATAAATTAAATTAGAAATTAGACTTTCTCTCCATATCAGGGTTTGCATTTCATGATAATCTTTATGTATGATATGGTCTTAAAAATAGACCTATGTGATCCAATTTCCCTACCTTTCCATTTTTTACTGTATCGCTGCTGTGGACCAATTTTCATCATAAAGTATTAAAAATGAAACCTTTTTATGAAGGGCTTACTATTCATGAGAAATCTTATACATAGGTCGCCCCAAGAAATAGACCAATGAGATTCAAATTCGTTCACTTCATTTTTATGCCAAATTACTATGATGAACAAATTTTCGTCATAAAACATTAACATTTAGGCCTTTATGGCATATCAGGATATGCATTTGCTAAGAATCCTTATATACGGTGGTATAAAAAAAAGAGATCTGAGTGGTCCAAAGTCACTAAGGTCGGTTTCTTTAGCAATTTACTATTGTAAATTACTTTTCCCTATAAAATATTGAAAATTATAGCTTGTCGTTATATAAAGATTCAGTTTTCGTAGGAGCGGTTACACGAAGGAAGTTCAAAAAGTTAATTTTTATTAGCAGTTTGGAATTCCGAAGTACTATTACTACGAGTTTTGTAGAAAAAATTTGAAAATTGTAATTTGTTTCCATATAACAACTTCCCAAATGTGTTTTTACTTGCGAAGCGATTGGAAAAGTGAATCGATGCGGACCGTTTTCAACAGCGTTCGTTCGTTCGTGAAAGCACGCTAGTATACTAAATTTCTTCAACATACTTCAAAAGTTGAGACATGTAGGTTAAACACAAAAATACATCGAAAGACTTCAGACGGGCTGGCAAACTTGGACCGATGCAAAAAGTAATTGTAAATCGATAGGTATAATAAAGGATGACTCTATCTTAAGTTCTTCTGGGTGTTCGTCCACTCAAATTTAATATACTCTGCATCAGAAGTGGTATGCGGTATTAAAATTGGTCAAATTGGGTGAAAAAATTAGATGGAAAGCAAGCGTAATAAAAGGTTAGCCAACGTTTTCATTTCTCCTATCCACAATTACGTGGAATCATTATTTTAGCTGATAGAGTATCTGCAACCGGATCATGGTCACATATGTTTAAGTAATCAAAAAAAGTAAAAATACCGTATTCTAGCTACAATTTCGCAAACCATTAGGTGCTCGAAATTTATGTGTTAGAGAAAATTCATTTCGCGAAACGACGGTTTAAAACAGCATGGGTGCTCCGTCTACTGCTAAGGGTATCAGAAATTGAGGATTGTAATGTAGAACGTCTGATTGCATTGGTTTTCTAATTCTGTTAAACGCGTCTTCCCAAGCTATAGTCCATTTAAACGATATGTTTTTCTTTAGCAAGTTATTAATAGGAAATAAGACTATGATCAAATGTGAAAAAAACCCCGTACTATCGTAGTCCACTAGACGAGCTACCGCTCGAACTTCGTCTGTATTAAGCGTTCTTTTGTATGGCGCCTATTTTGTATGGAGTCAACCTTTTGCTACAATATGTGCATTTTATGTTAGCCAAACAAATAACAACTGTATTCCGTTTGATCCAATAAGAACTTCATTTTCCCAAATTAACTCTCATGTTGCATTCGGGGAATTACAGTTTGTTTAACCATGTTACTAATTTATTCCCTCGAACTCGTGTATATTGACTTCCTTGTTCTGACAGTTCCATTGCTACAGCTATACTTAACGCCTTATCCACAGTGTTTATTACTGAGTTCAATTGGTTCCGTAGAGCCGAATTCAGCTAGAAGCCAATATTAGATTGAATAGACCATTTGTGCAATATACTATAATATAAAATTTACTATAAAATTTTACTAAAATTTTACTATAAAATTTTCTACAGATTTTTCTTTTTGCTCGTTCCGCAAATGCAATTTGCATTTCTCCACAATTTTTAGTATTTCTCGCTCATAGTAATCACAAATGTATTTAGTGATGTCTTTCTACAAAAGTTTTGTTGAAGTCTTTGCTGTTACGTTATGGTTAAAAATATACGCTTTTACTCATATAATGCCTTCGCAACCAAAAATCATTAAAGCCATACCATAACGTTCCACCCATTTCGATCAAGAAAACTGAAATTACACTGAAAGTCTTAATTTGCAAGCATAATAGAAAAACGGATATTTTAATGTATTTATTTGTTTTTTTTTTAAGGTTATGCAGGAACGTTCTATTTCCTTGCACGCGCATATATGTACTGGTATTTAAAAAAATTTTCTTTTGTCGCTAATTTTTGAGATTTTTGACAAGATTTGGTATGTGCTTTCACTAACGGGCGAACGCTATTGAAAATGGTTCGGATCAATGCACTTTTTCGATTACTTCCCAATGTAATGACTTATTTTGAAAATTAAAGAGGGACACACAAGCTTAGATCGACGAAAATTTTTAAAGCTAAAATATTCGTTATTTTAATTATTTTAAGTGAGGTTTTGGAATAGGTCCATTAAATTAAAAAGTAAGACCAGAGGTCTGAATTGTTATAGAGTAATTTTATAACTAACTGAAATTATTGCAATAAAACATATATAGCATGTATGTTTATTTCATTTGACGATATATGTGCAAATAAATGAAAATCTAAAGTTATATTTCTACAAGTGAGGACACTGTACAGGTGTTGCGTAGACTAACTCACCTTTTGACCTTGTTTAAGAATACTTCGAAACGTTCAATTGGCGTGGGTCGTTTCGCTTCCTTTTGATGATTTAATATTTCAGTCTCTTCCCGATTTTTTCGGTTAACCCATGCACCACTTAAGCTTCCGTTACTTAAATCGCATTTTTTTACTGGGCACTGAAACTGACAAAATTGTCTTCCAGTTTCTTGCGGCATATATTGGGAGTTCTTAGAAATCTGGCCTTGAGATTTGTTTTTGATTTCTTCAGCTTCATCTAAAGGCATGTTAACCAAAGTAATTGGTTGGTTACGTAACTCGGTGAGCCATGTTAAACTAGTTAAATCTTTCTCTTCTTCGTCCTCTTTTTCATCGTCTTTCTGGTCACATTTATACTCTTCTTTATTCACAAGTTCCTCAAGATGGATAAGAAGGTGACCTTCTTCAGCGTGGCCGGCAGAAACATCCTCAAGATTGGTGACAGTAAAAGTTACACTGCACTCATTACCATCAACTTTACAGCGTTCGTCACAATCTGACTGATGCATTGCAGTTGTGGTTGAAAATGTTGCACTTAAAAAGAATTCCTGATGATTAACACTTTGAATGATTTTTGATGTGCCTGTTGCCATTGTTAACTAAAAATTTTAAATTATAAATGATGTTAATAATAATAATAATAAGTAAGAAAATTAAATTCGGTCGGGGCCCAATCTTTTATATATCTTTTGTCGTAGAGGCATGTCGGCGTTGTGGGCGTATTCTTTGAAGAGTTGGACTAAATTCTTTTTCAAATTTGTCGGCGATATCTTCATTTTCGCTAGCGGGAAAATGTTTACCACAAATACTACAAAGCTGCGCATACAGACAGATGGACAGACGGACATGGAGACACGTTTAAGTGCATTCAAAATAAGAGACTGCCCAAAAATTTGTTTACGTTATGGGGTTTTTAAAACTTCTTTCAGTGCGTTATAAAGGTATTAAAAACAATTAAATTATAATACGCTATAATATTGTGTACGCGTGATCAATTTTTGCCATTTTGTGCAAAACTGCTACAGCGAAGAAATATTCCAAAGAATATGCGCTCAAATTTAGTTGCTACAGAGTATGAGTAAAAAGCAAAAACCCAATTTTTCATTCTCTTTGAAAAATAGAGGTTATCTCAGTTTACGTGATGCTGTGGGCGTGCCCTTCCACCAATTTGCCTCATTTTCAATGCCAACCTGCGTGCAAGAACTTTCATTTCTTCTGCCAAATTTGAAGTCGATAGCTTCATTTTTGCAGCCAAAAGAAAGTTTAAAACGGACATTACATAGACGGTCAGACGGAAATGCTTAGATTGATTTCGGATTTGATAAGAATGTGTATATTTTGTGGAGTCTCTGATGCTTCCTTCTGGGCGTATATAATAATTTTTATAATTATAGTAATGATAATAATAATAATCTATAATAACATGTATATATATTATTATTATTATTCAGAACGGCAACTCTCTTCAAGCGCTGTGGTCATATTTTTCTCTTTGTGAAAAAATTTTTGCAAAATATTCTTCTATTTAATTTCTTTATTGCGTTATACGTTTTTAAAAGTTTTCAAACTTATTAAAATTTATTGAACTTTTTGTGTGTTTATTGCGAAAACTGTTCATCGCGGATACCGTACGTATTTTCCTTTAAATACATTAAAAAAAAAAAAAAAAATTAAAAATATCTGACATTTTATTCAGTAGTTTCCCAAACCTTTTAAAGTGAGTGGTTATTTCACAAATAATAAACAATAGACAACAATAAGTCATAATGGCCCCGGGGCCGCCAGATAAAAACTCAAATAGATTTCATCTATTAGGTGACACATTCCCCCAAAGAAAAAAAAGTAAAAATTCCGATTTTCCGGTGTTGCCAATCAGTGATATAAGTCCTATTGATAAAAAATATATTGTTAGTTCTTCAACCGATGCTAGAATAACAATTTCCTAAATTAGCCCTTTTGCTATAAAAAAAGCTCTAGATAACATTACAACATACATCGACTCCATCTCGATTCTACGCGATGGGAATTTACTGGTCCTCGCTGGGAAACCGCGCGCAACCGAAAAGCTCATAAAGGCCAAATCTTTAGCTAATCTATGTGCTATTTCAGCTGAACTACATGAGAAACTTAACTCGGTTGGAGGCGTAATTTATGCCCCTTGCTTAAAGCATGTGCCGGAAGATGAAACTGTCCGCGAAATGGGCAATCAAGGAGTGACTGAAGTATATTAATTCACCAAACTGAATGATGACGGAAAAACACGCTCTCCTACAGGAAGGATTATTTTAACTTTTGATCGATATCGATTACCGCGAACATTTGATGTGGCGTGGTATAAATATAAAGTAGAACTATACATCCCAAGTCCTATGAGATGTTAAAATTGCCAACGCCTGGGTCATACGGCAAAAAGATGCACTAGTGCTGTAGTCATCCTCCACATGCTGAAAGCTGTACCCGTAGTTTCTGTATAAATTGCAATGATCAACACTCAGCGTTAGACAAACAATGCCCACGTTTTGTACAGATGCGTGAAATACTAAAAGTCAAAACAGAAAATTACTGGAGCATGGGCGAAGCGCGACCCACATACCGGGAAAGAAATCCATCTGTAGCCCATGGAATTGGCAAAACTAATACCTACGCTGCTTTTGCCTCGCAAATCGAGCCTAGTAAGACTTTAACTCCAACTGCTTCCAATGAAAAACCTGTTCCACCATTTATACCAAAAATTAACCAAAATTTATATTTTAACCAAAAATTATATTGCGAAACCAGTTACATCCACCGCCAAAGATAATATTGAAAAAATCAAGACAACAGCAAATATTGAAAAAATTAAAACAACAACACTTATCATAAAATCTAATAAACTAAATTCCTCAGAATCACCAGCTCTCAACTTTAGCCAACAAATTACAAGTTCTAATGAATCCAATCTTTCATCCCTTAATCAACTTTCAGTTTCAAATTATTCACGTGCGCCCACTCGTTGCACTTCAAATGTACGCAACCTCCTAAGAACATATTATTCGCGCAAAATTCCTATAGCGATCTTTTCGACGGAGACGCTGACATGTCAACTTAATCCACCTACCACTCCGTTTAGATGTCACTATAATTAAATAAAGTATTTAAAATTCTACAATGAAACATTTAGGGGCTTATTAATAATTTTGATGAACTCCGTACATTTATAAGTGATTTGATTTAAACTTTTATATCTCTTCAAGAAGCCCTTTTTAGAAGCTCTTTTAATCCTATTCCACCCAAATCATATACTGGATACTTCACAAAAGCTGTTCAAAATTCATATTCCAAATAAGGAGTGTAAAATCAAGTATCCCTCACAAGCGCGTAAATTTATGCTCATACATACAAGCCGTAGCGATGCAAATAACCTAAAACATAAAATTTACAGTGCTTTAGCTC